GACGTCGGGGCGTGGATGCCGACGCGCTGTACGCGGCGGTGGCGGAGGCGGTAGTACGCGGCGGGCTGGCTGGCTTCAAGCCGCAGGCGCTGGCCAACACGGTGTGGGCGTATGCGACGGCGGGCGTGGCTGCGGACGCGCTGTACGCGGCGGTGGCGGAGGAGGCGGTGCGCAGCGGGCTGGCTGGCTTCAACTCTCAGGACCTGGCCAACGCGATGTGGGCGTATGCAGCGGCAGACCATTATCACCAGGCGCTGCTTGCCGACTGCTCGCGCGTGATCAGCGACTCGCTCGCGCGGGATCCGTCGAGCTGGAGCGAGGAGGGCCGCGTTCAGCTTCACCAATGGCAGCTCTGGCTCTCCCTGGAGCGAGGCGACGACGAGCAGCAGCATCTCCTCCCCGCCCCCCAGCGCCAGCTTTGCCGCGACGCCATGCAAGACACGCAAGTGACGATCTCTGAGTTCCAGCGCTCTGTCGCGGTTGCCCTCGCCGCCGTCCAGCACGGCTTCGAGGAGGAGTATCTCGAGCCGCGCACCGGCTACTCGCTCGACCTGGTGCTGCCCTCGTCACGCGTCGCGGTTGAGGTGGACGGCCCCTCTCACTTCCTGCTGCCCGACGGCCGGGGCGTGCGCAAGCCCAACGGGTCCACGCTGCTCAAGCGGCGCCTCCTCGTGGCCAGCTCGTGGCGGCTGGCTGCAGGGTGATCAGCGTTCCATTCTACGAGTGGGACGGCTTCGCGACGGCCAGTAAGGGGCAAACCTGCAGGGGCTGTTGGGCTAGTACTGATGGTCATAACTGTCGCTTGGCGCATGGCGGGCGGCTCCGTGGTTTACCTGTGTTACTTTAGTCGCAAAGTCGGCACACGCCGTCTGGCGGCGGCGGCGGCGGCGGCGGCGGCGGCGGCGGCGGCGGCGGCGGAGCCGTCGGAGGGGGTGGCGGCGGAGCCAGGCGACGAGGAGGAGGAGGCGGCGCGGCAGGCGGCCGCCGCAGCCGCAGCCGCGGCAGAGGCGGCGGCCGCTTCCCGGCCGTCGCCGCCGCCGCTGAGCGAGGAGCGCAGCTTTAGCGAAGACATGCAGAGCGGTCTCTTCGACATACAGATGCTCGCTTCGTTGTACTGAGGGCCGGCGGAAGCGCCAGGCACCACACGACCCCGGCCGCCGGAGGACCGGACCGTCAGAAGCTCCCCCCGAACACGTGTGGCAGCGCGCGGGGCCGCAAGCGAGAACTTGGAGCACTTGGTCACGTTTGAATTCTTTTCCGCACGATGGTGCCCACCTCGACGCCGACAGCGCCGCCGTCCAGCGACGCCGCGCCGCCGCCCGGGTCCGAGACTTTGAACGTGGACGGCTGGCAGGTCGTCGTCACCGACGGGCACGCGGTGCTGACCGAAGGCATGACGCACCTGCCGGGCGGGGCTTTCCGCGGCCGCACCTCTCTCGTCTCGGTCGCCTTCCCACGCAGCCTCACCTCCATCTCCCCCCACGCCTTCTGCGGCTGCTCCGCCCTCTCCTCCGTCACCCTCCCCGCCGGCCTCACCTCGATCGGCTGGCACGCCTTCTTGCGCTGCTCCTACCTCGCCTCCGTCACGCTGCCGCTGCCCGATGGCCTCTCGATTGACGACGGTGCCTTCTTCGACTGCCCCCTCAACGACGAGGCTAAGGCAGCAGTGCAGGCCATCAACTTTTGGGCGGTGCGGCCTTCAATCGACGCACGGGGGCATGCCACTGTGCCGGAGGGCGGCACCACCATCGCCAGCAGCGCCTTCTCCGACTGCTCCGCCCTCGCCTCCGTCACCTTCCCTGCCAGCCTCACCTCCATCGGCGATACCGCCTTCTTCAACTGCTCCGCCCTCTCCTCCGTCACCCTCCCCGCCGGCCTCGTCTCCATCGGCGGCAGCGCCTTCGAGCGCTGCTCCTTCCTCGCCTCCGTTGCGCTGCCGCTGCCCGATGGCCTCTCGATTTGCGACGGTGCCTTCTTCGACTGCCCCCCTCACGACGAGGCTAAGGCAGCAGTGCAGGCCATCAACTTTTGGG